AGTTTTATCAGGAGAGAGGAGTTTTTTTCTTGTTGTTGAGTATATAATGACTGGTTCCTTGCTCCGAATAAATCGTTATTTAATTAGATCAGTATTCTCCAAATTAGTATGGAGTTTGTGTACCCTATAGTATACAAGACAATCCTTTGAAGTACAGGAAGAAATTATCTATAAATTGGTAATGCATTTCTAACCCTAAAACTGGTGTTTTGAAGCAAATGTATAGTTTTCATTAGATATTTTTGTTGGACCACTCCTAAGCCTTATGTTAAGACCCTTTTAACATGACAAACCACCCCAATGTACTTTTTTCTTTATCCTATGACTCTAACCTAGGGTTCACCATTTTAAAAAATTTCATGTCCCTATTAATAAAGTATTTGCGCCTGTGGGCCCAAATACATTTAGAAATTAAATGATTGCTAATTCCTGAGTATATATGTGTGTGTGTGTGTGTGTGTGTGTGTGTGTGTGTGTGTGAGTGAGAGAGAGATAATATCAAGAAATTAGACCAAAAAATAAAATAGGAAGTTAAATAAATTGAGATCTTAAGTTCCAACTGTTTTTAGACAGCTGTTCAATATTTTTAAACTTGTATTGTTGGTTGTAGTATTAAAGTTGTCTGGTTAAAGTTTATTTTGCTTTTTATGTTTTGCCTTGCAATATTTTTTTCTTCCCTTCTTTATTCCCAGCCTAAATGGGAAAAATAATAAAAATGAACATTTATTCAGTCAGTATTTACTAATGCTAGGTTATGGGGATGAAATGGTAAGTAAAACTCAAGACATGAAAGCTGAATTCACAGTGCTTATTTTCTGGTGGTGGAGATAAACCATCACTCATATCGCAAAAATGTTGACTGAGATAAGTGGTATGAAATGGTGTATGTGTTTGTGTAAAGGGAGTATTTGGACCATTCAGGGAGGTCAATGAAAACTTTGTGGGCATGCGACCAGCTACATAATTTTTAGAGCCCAGTGCAAGATGAAAATTTGAGACCTCTTGTTCAAAAAAATTATTAAGACTTCCTAGGCGGACAGCAGAACACTTTACAAGCATGGGGCCCTTTTAAGTGTTGGTTCTGTGAACTGTGCAGGTTATGTATCCATGAATCTGGTTCTACCTGAAGAAGTAATGTTTGAGCTGAGATATGATAAAACAAGAAGATTGCTCTAGGCAAAGAAAATAACATAAATGAGTCTCAGGGCAGGAAGGATTGTGGAGTATTCAGATATTGGATGAAGGCCAGTGTGGCTGGAGTGCAGGGAGTGGAGGGTTGAGGAGGGTGTGAGTGAGGTGAATTAGAAAGGGTGATGTGTAAAGCCAAGTAGAACTTGATAGGCAGTGTCAAAGATTTTGGCCTTTATTTCAAGAACCACATATAATTACCAGTGGGTCTTAAGCATAAAGTTTACTTGTGGTGTCCTAATAATACTAATAACTTGATTCTTGATAGTATTGGACAACTTTCTCCCCCAACTTCCATTTCTTTTCTTTTTAAAATAATTTTTCAGTTGTAGATGGGCGCAGTACCTTTATTTTATTTGTTTATTTTTTTATGTGGTGCCCGGGATTGAACCCAGTGCCTCAAGCTTGGTAGGCAAGTGCTCTACTGCTGAGCCACAGCCCAGCCCACTTCTACTTCTTACCAACCTCTTTTTTAGAAATTCTTAGCCTGATCTTCTGTGATTATTCTAAGCCTGTGCCTTCCCTAAGGCATATTTGAAACAGCATTTCACATCAGGGAGTTCTTTTGGTAGTAGAAGTTGAAAATGGATAGGGTAGGTGAATTATGAAATTTTATTTACTATTAAAGTAGTTTTTAGTCTAAAACATTTTAGGTCAACTGAAGAAATATTAATAAAAGATGAAAATGTTTTTTAATTGTTTGAAAACAACTTTTCTTTTAAAAAATACTACAGATATTTTAAATATCTGTTGTCAGAACCATGATTAAAAAGTTTAAATCTCCCTTTTATACATGCTCAAGAGCAAGGGGTGGGGATATTTACTTGCTTTACCTTGGGAAAGAGAGGAAGGGAAAGAAGTTGTCATTTTAGACTTTATCTTTTGTTGATAGGTGCTCACAATAAAAGGCTTTAATTAGTATTATCCAAACCAAGAGTAGGCTTTGTGTTTTGTGTGGATAAAATGTTTTTGATTCATACTTCTGAAGACAGTTATAAAGTTTATTTTCTAGAATGACACCTTCATAAGGTGATTTGTAGATCCATTACCAGGCCACCCAACTAGGGATTTTCACTTTTGGCACTCTTACTAGTGATTTCTTTTCCCATGTCATGCTTTAAATGTAATTATTTAAGCTTGTACACATAGACAGTGCTCTAAAATCAGTGATATTGTATATTCTGAGAGCTTAATGGGTGAGATGGGCAGCTGGCCATTTTGTTCTTTAACATTTATTATCTATGATCCATGATACTCTAGAATTCCTAACTAGTAAAATAACATGGTTATATAGATTTGTGTCAGTCTACTTGCCTTCTCTCTTTAAATGATAGTTTCCATTTATAAATAAAACACCAAACTTTTGGTACAGTTGCTTTCTGAAAATTTATTTTCAGTTATTTATGGGTGAAAACATGTTTATATCTTGGATCAAGCAAAATGTTTAGCCCCTTTACCCTATTTTCCAGCTTTAGGTTCTTAGAAAATAGCTTTTGGTATTTGTAGGCAGCTTCTTTAGTTTTATTTGCATTCATGTTGCAAAATTTATATTACTTTGATATATGTTGTTGGATTAGATTTGAAGAATTCATGGAGGTAGTGATGAATTTTCTTTTTTTTTTTTGCTGTTCATATGAGAGCTTCTGTTACAAAGTAGTGGGGTAGCTTCTTATTTATCATATCTAAGATGCTAAGTTTATCTTATTCCATTGTTTTGAAAATATTTATCCCTCTCTGTATATACACAAAATAGCTAAACAAAAGTTAAAATTACCAGAATATACAAAGTATATAAAGTTGGCCCTATTAACAGAGATGATAAAATTAAACTGGGTAAAACTTTGAATAGCCAAAATGTTTAGGGAATGAAATGATAGCTATAGTCAAATATTCCTTTTCTTTCTTTTCCCACACAATTAATGAATACCAACTGTATGCAAAACAGGTACACTGTGCCCTACGCAGATACATAAGAAACATGTATTGCATCTAGGAACTTAGTTTTAATATTTATTCTTTGAAATTTTTATAAATTTCTATGCTTTATTGATTTAATAAGATTAATATAATGCATATAATTGAATCTTTGATGATTTAGAAACTTATAAAGAATTAATATCATTGTTTTGTTTCTAGTATAGATGTAAATGGTAGAGGTATGCTGACCATACAATTTATCCTAAAAGGTTACTTTTGAGTAATTCGCTGATATCAGCTTGTTTTTGTTTCCGTGACTTTTATTTTAAAAACTGTGCTATACAGGTTAATTGGGTTCTTATTTAAATTTTACTTTGTTAAAATGTTTACAGTAAAATTAATATTTAGTTTCACTGCCTTTGGTTTGTGTATTGAAGTTCAGTAACTTGTAATATTGTAGGTAACAGCATATAGAACTATGTATGGTCCATTTTTTGCTTGACGATTTCACGATATTGTCGTTAAGTGTGAACTTAATTTTGTATAGCTCAAATCAAGCCAAAAGTTAGATTTTTAGTATTTACTAATACTACTGTTTTTCTTTTTATTCTTAAACATAATAAAAGCAAATTAAGGGATTTCTGTCCTGTGTTTCCTCTTTAGTGAACAATAAAAAATGCTTTATATGTACAAATTTCTTTTAAAAAGCCATAATTATATATGAAAAATTATTTGTTGCTATGTCACAGATTGGATTAATATAAATACAATAAAAAGATACCTCAAGTTGCATATATTTAATTTACTTTCTTGCTGAGGGCAAATGTAGTTACTGTATTAGAATCTGTGATTAAAAAAGAAAAAAGAATCGATGGTTTTGTTATTTTGTGTTTTTTACAAAGAAGATTTCAACAAATGATGTTCTTGTGTAATAATCTTGTATATTCTATCAGTGGAGTCACTGCTTCTTAAGTGCAGTTGATGAGATAAAATTCAAATCTAGTGCTTTTCCCCAGTACTGGTAGGTTACTGATATTTTCTTTGTAGCTGGAATCTTGGAATCTTCTCTAAATGAGAGACTAAGGGTCAAGGTCAGGCTTTACTTCAGGCCTAAAATTAGCTTTATTGGCTTTATTTCACATTGTAGGTGCTTCCTGCTTCATCACACAACTCTCCTTTAATTGTTTTTGTGGGATAGTGGTGGCAGAGTCAAAGCAGTGAAATGTTTTAGATATAATAGGCTTCCTTTGTATTTTTAAATCTACCAGCTTAAAGGAAGAGATAGACAACCTGATACAGATGTATTTGATTCATATAGTGTTGCTTGAAAATTCACTTTGTAAATTATCATAAATATTGTTTCACTATCTTTTTTTTTAAAAAAAAATATTTATTTATTTTTTAGTTCTCGGCAGACACAACATCTTTGTTTGTATGTGGTGCTGAGGATCGAACCCGGGCCGCATGCATGCCAGGCGAGCGCGCTACCGCTTGAGCCACATCCCCAGCCCCTTCACTATCTTTTTTTATAGTGAGTCAGACATCAGTATCTTTTTATATGTTTGAGCAACATTTTGGATGTAAATGTTTAAAGGAAGGTAAAGGAATTTATTTTTCAGATTCATTTTTGATTGGGCATGATGTCTGTCTGTTTCTCCCCATAAAAACAAACAAACAAACAATCACCAAATAATAAGTAAGCATGCATTTAAAAGGATCTCGCCTACTTAGACAGGTACCATAGAATCTAAGATATATGATTAGGTGCCATATTATAAGGTAGTCTTAGTAATTGACTTTAATGCTATAGGCCAATGAAAATACTTACTAATTTGGTAGATGAATGATATTTTGTTTGCCCTATATGTCTAATTATCATTGCTTTGTTTCTTCAGCTACAGAACCTTGGCCAGAAAATGCTACATTATATCAGCAACTGAAAGGTAGGTTCTTAATCACAATTGAGTGATTTTTGTATCCAAATATATTTATTACCAAAAAAATCCTCACTAATGTAATTCAATACAAAGAGAACATGAAACGTAAAGGAGGGATTCTCTTGTATAATTTGTCTAGGAGGTTTTACCTAAACTTGTATCTGCCAGTGTAAACCAACTATTCATGGCCTATAAGGTCCTTGGTTTATTATTGACTCATTATATTGGCTGCTGTAGGCAATGTAAAATGATGTGGTTGCAGGAGCAGTTGGCAGATTTACTGCACCAATAGCTGAGACAGCAGTTTTTTGAAGTCCTGTGGTAAAGTGGGCTCTCAGTAAAAAGGAACTGTTAAAATGTATAGGCTAGGATGGTTCAGGCTCCCTTTAGCAGCTCTTCATATATCATCAGATCACATTATGGACCCCATTTGGGGCTCAGCAGCCTGCTACAGTTGTCAGAAGACTGCAAAGTAATGAAGACTAATAGGCAGCAGCCCTAGTCTTCTAAGCATGGAATTTTTATTGCAGCAAACTTGTCATCTTTCTTTTGTGTGACAGACCTAGACACACTGTGCAATATTAACTGCAAGCTGGTTTTATATGATTGTGAATGCTTTTACTTTTAACTAGAAAGATTTGAATAGATACTATTTTATTTAATTTTAATGAAAAGAAGGGGGATATTTCTTGAATACTTAGAAATGAATTTATTCTTAAAGGGGCTATTTTAATTACATATTGCTGATAAAATGAGATAAGTGATCATATAGTTTCAGAGGAAATAGTCCTATTTTATTATTTTTTATACATTATAACAGTCAAAATTTTGATTACACAACATTGATGTAGAATTTCATGTTCACTTCAATGTAGACTATACCTTTTCTTTTTAAAATAGGAATAGTTCTTAAAAATAAGAATATTATAAGTATTCTTTGCTTGTTTAGCAGTTAATTTTGAATGAGGTCTTTCCTTGTATTTCCACAGGGGAGCAAATTTTGCTTTCTGACAATGCATCTTCTCTTGCTGTGCAGGTAATTATGTAAATAATATGTATTTTTTACCCTCCAAATGATTTGTGTAATTTGGAGTTGCAATTATTTTTTTTTCCTCAAGAAAATCTAATATTAAATACTTAAAATTTTTCTGTGTTTATTTACTCTTATCAGTATATCATTGCTTCCCTGTGAAGTGTCATTTTACTATATAATATTAATCAGTTAATTGTTGTTCAGATATAAAATAAAAATCTTCATTACTTGTTCTTTTACACAAAGTCATTGTTAAGTGTTAGTCACATTCTGTGTCTTAAGCGGTTGTTTTGCTTTGGATTAGATACGATTGTATTGATTATTTGGGGATAAAATTTTATTTAGGAACAGAATTATCTTCTAATTTATTTGTAAAGATTTATTTACTACATATTTTTAAGCATCATTCTGTTCTTTGTACTCATTCTAGCCTTAATCTGTTTGGTAATCTTAAAATAGACATGTTCTTTTGTAGCTGCTCCTTATGTATTTCTTGATTACATGTGTGTTTGTTATCCCCAAACCACTTATTGAATTCAGTAACTCTTCAGGTTGTATAATCACAGTTTTGTAATCCAAAAAAGATTAGTGGCTCTGTAAACTTTGAACTATAGGAAGATTAGGATACTTGGGGGATTATTTACTTAATAAAAAGAATTATCTGTGTAGATTATAGAATTATAGTTGTAAAAACATTTTACACATTTAGCTTTTATCTACTTGGTTTATATAGTTTGAATAACAAAGAAAATTTTATTGTGTAACACCTAAAAGATAACTCAAAGGAAAATCTTAAGAGGTGACATTTATTGGAAGTGAGACTGAGCCTCCTTGAGCACAGAAAGAAAGGGTAGGAAAGTAACTGTCAAAGCTTTTCTTGTGTTCTAGACATAATGCTAAGCACTGATTTTTAGGTTATCTCTTTTATATTTTTTATTCAACTTTATATCCTTTAGGCTTAATAACAATGTCATTCAGTATGACAGTATAACAGTATGGCATTCAGTACATCTTTATTTTAAGGCAGGGAAGGAAGGGAAAGATGGAGAGAAATGTGGCTGGACAGTATAAGTATCTTTTAACTTTCTTTTTGATTTGTTTTATATATATATTACCAGGAATATGCATTGTCTTTTGTTACTAATATTATAACTAGTTTTTATGTTAACTTTAAAAAAAAATGTAGTTGTAGATGAAAAGAGGTGCTAAGGATCGAACCCAGTGCCTCATGCATGCTAGGCAAATGCTCTGCCACTGAGCTACAGCCCCATCCCTTATGTTAACTTTTGATTTTGATAAAATCTTTTCCCCTGTGACTATTGCCCTTAGTTTTGCTTTCCTTCCCTCATCTACAGAATTACAGATGTTATAGTGCTGCTTATTGCCCCCACCCTTTTTTATTGTTGTAAGAGAGATGAAATTTCAATTTGAGCTCTCATGTGCAATAACAGTTGCCTATCATATAAAATATACTCAGTGAATGTTTGTTGTGTGAATGGTTTCTAAGTGTGGTGAAAGCAGTCTTGCTTAATAAGTGACAGCACAAATAATTATTTGATGTGTATAAAATAGTATTTTTAATATTTATATTTTTGAAAAGCTTTTGGGAAGTGAATATTTTAGTTGAAGCACTGATTCTTAACCCTTTATCAGTTGTCATTTTGGGGATAATTCTTTCAGGATTTAACAAAAATTATAGAACATTTTCCCAGAAAACACCCCACTGCACACATAGAAATAAAAATACACCCAGGCTATTCTGCATGTGGTTTCACAGGTTTATGATCTCCCTCCTCAAGCTATCTGGGAGTCTATATGAAGAGCCCTAAAACTAATAGTAACTTAGGAAGAACTAAAGTAATTTTCACCCAAAGGAAGGCATGTTAGGTAGGAATAGACTAATAATGTTTCTCAACTGGGGAGCTTTTTAACCCCCACAAAAGGTTGCTGCTAACCGCCCTACGGTGCACAACCCCGAATGTAAATAGTGTCAAGGTTGAAGAGCCCTAGAATAGATATTTTAACCAGTTTCTAGTACAAAGCAAGATATAAATATTATCATTTTTAAAAATTAACATTTTAGGGGCTGGGGTTGTGGCTCAGCAGTAGAATGCTTGCCTTGTATGTGTGCAATACTGGGTTTGATCCTTAGCACCAAATAAATAAATAAATAAATAAAGTGTGCTATGTACAATTAAATTTTTTTTAAATTAACATTTTAATAATCTAGGGAAGGGGAGGAAAAAAGACATCTAGTATGTACTTCATCAATTCTATTTTTGTAGTTCTTATTAATTAGTTTTCTTATTATAGTTTCTCTAATTGTTGGAATTAAAAATAAAACAGAAAAAGGATCTTTTAAAATGCAGAATTTTGCTTAACCATTTCTTTTTTTTATCCTACATATGTCACTTAGATGATAAATTAACCAGCATATATTAAAATTCTTAGTTTTCTTCAATATTCTTTGGCTTGACAGCTGATAGTAGCCATGACTATAAATGTGACTTTTCCACATATCTGATGTAAACTTTATAGAGCAATTTTCTTCTATATAGTGGATCAGCATCCGTTTAGAAGAATCATTTAAAGGCTTCTTGCTTGATATATAAAGCTGATCAACACAATATGACAGGTATCCATAAACTGAATATTTTCTATAAGATACCAAATATCAAACAGATATTTTAATAGTCTGCAAGTTAAGCCAGGGAATGTAAATTTTATTTTCCTCCTAGACTTGGTATTTATTATATCCCTGAAGCTAAATGCTTAGCTTTTTTTTAGTTAAAGGAACCTTTATGTTTTCAGTCTAAAAGAAAAAAAAATCTCTTCCCCTGTGACTATTGCCCTTAGTTTTGCTTTCCTTCCCTCATCTACAAAGTATTGATTTTATCTGAAATGTTATTTGGTCATGTCACCTTGTATACTGAATATAGTGAAGTATTATATAGTATGTTCCTGTGGCTCCTGTGAGCTATGTGCATGTGTGTATGTATGTGTATGTATAATATTGCATACAAGAAAAAAAGAACAAGAAGTTTTCTATAATAATTTGACTTTGAAGTTTATATTGATTGGAAAAATAACTTTGATAATAATTTTCTATTACTCCGTCTCTTAACAGAAGATTTTAAAAATATTTAAAGTATCCCTATTTAAAAAAATAAAAGAAACAGGTGAAACCACATGCAGAATAGCCTGGGTGTATTTTTATTTCTATGTGTGCAGTGGGGTGTTTTCTGGGAAAATGTTCTATAATTTTTGTTAAATCCTGAAAGAGTTATCCCCAAAATGACAACTGATAAAGGGTTAAGAATCAGTGCTTCAACTAAAATATTCACTTCCCAAAAGCTTTTCAAAAATATAAACATTAAAAATACTATTTTATACACATCAAATAATTACTTTTAATAATGTATTTTATTTAATCCATTTCATCAAAATAATATTTTATCATGTAATCAATACAATGTTTATATTTTACATTTTTTCTTATAAAGTTCAAAATCTGATGTTATTTTATGCTATGGCACATGTGCATCCTTAGGCACATTGCAAGTGCTTAGTAGCCTTGTGTAGCCGATGACTCTTGTATTAAAGAGTGCAAGTGTAAAGAGCAAATACAGGTGAACTTTGTAAGTTTTCTACAAAAAAGGCTTTTTAAGAACTTTTGAAGTCTGTATTTGCTTTTATAGCAGATTCCACAAATGGAATGTAGGCAATTAATTTCTTTTCCAAATACAGCAGACCTTAAATAGGACTGTTTATTTGAAGTTTCCTAATCTGTAAAATGGAGATATAGTAGATGCTGTCCCATTGGGTTATGAGGATTGAATACGTAATGTGTAAAACACTTAGAAAAATGCCTGGTGTATTGTAAATACAAAAGAATGTAGGTCATTATTTCCTTTTCTCCTGATTCTTCGACAGAAAACACATAATGAATTTCAGCAAGAGGAATAGAACTTGTGGGCTTGGTAATACCTAAAAAAACACTAAAGTAATTGAGAGTAAATGTCATATGTAAGCTTTCTGGGGGACATATTTGTATTTGTATGAGCATTAAAATTTTTGTAATCATTTTTTATGCCATACCTTAAAGATGTTAATATTGAATGCTTTAATTCAAATAGCATGTTATTTTAATAATATTGAATAAGGTTTGGTTTTAAAATTTAATATTTACTAAATGCTTTTATTGTAAAATGCTCTCTATGGAGATCATTTATATAGAGTATTGCATCTAATCCTTACCAACATCCTACTGTAGAGTTGCATTCTTAATCTCATTTTAAAGATGTGGAAACTAAAACTCAGAGGTGCTCTGCCCAGGGTCAGAAGAGTCCACAAATTGTGGAGGTAAACAGAAAATAACAGCATTGGTGAATGCCACATGTACTTATTACTGTGTTGAGCACCTAAAGTTCTTGTTAATTTATTTAATCCTTACAACAACTGTATGAAGTAGGGTGGTATGTAGTATAAGTATCATGGATAATCCTCTCTTACAGCAATCTTATGAGTTAGGTATTTTTATTATTCCAATTTTCCCACACATTAGGAAAGTAAGGTGGAGAGGTGAAATGATTTGCCCAAAGTTATATGGGCTGTACTTGGCAGAACTGAAATGCAAAGCTAGGGAGTCTGAGTTGACAGCCCACACACAGAACACTTTGATGCATATTAGACTAGTCCAGTGGTGAAGATCTTTGGATTTTTACCCAATAATAAGTGAACATTTAATCACATTAAAGTATGAAAGATAACATGTCTTAGCTTTTATATTTTTGAAATGAGATAAAGGTAGTCTTAACTATATTATGTTATTATGAAGCTCAAGTTGGGTAATAAAGGAGAAATTCTGTAGAAAGAAGTGAAAGCTATAGCAATGTAAGATGTGAATTAGTACCTATTTTGACTAAAGATTTATGTACTTATTTTGTGAACATCGTTAATAAAATGTTACTTTCTAGTAAATTTGAAAAAGAATATCATGTAGT